ATTAATATTAATATTTAAATATTTAATTCTTAATACATCATTTTATTATATTTATTAAGCAGTTGAGCTCTCTTCCTTTTCCTCTCTTAATATTTGTCAATACTCGATCAATTTTTAATAAACCTTATCTGTCTTCTCTTCTATCATTAACACAAATAAAAATTCTAAATGAAAATTCAGTCATTGGATCTTAAGAACTAGCATTAATCTTAAAAAAGTTTATTGATCTGATCATTCCTTATATGCAATAGCATTGGTATTGATTAGATGTTGCTTTTGTATGGAATAAGATAATTTTTTTACAAAAAGACTAAAGAGACTATGTTTTGATAATAATAAAATTAAAAATTTTAATTAGGTGGAGAAATGATTACAAATGGCAGAAGATGTGTTTTGTTAGCCTTTTCTTACACTATCTGAGAAAGCTATTCCAGAGTGACATGACTTTTAATTTCCAATGTGAGCTACTCTCTGATTTTATTTGAACTCTATGTTACTTAGTATTAGAAAGTTTCTGCTAGAAATAAGGGTCTAAATAATTTAAGATTTTTGATAGCTCAACGAATACTGATTACAATTTCAGGATTACACAAAACAGAAGAGGAAGATGAAAACATTTTTTTTAATCATAACAACCAAACCAGTAGAAAGCTAGCAGATCATTCTTGAAATAATATAAATATTTTAAAAAGTTTAAACAACAATCATTTTATAAATGGTACCAGATTTTTGGAATGATTAGATAGAACGGCTTTTTCAATGCAAAGAATGTATAAAAATATTTAATTAAAATGAGATATTTCAGCTATATTATAAGGTAGTAGTAATAAATTTGTAAGGATGTAACAGAAATCTAGAAAGAAGTATATAGGGAGGTGCTTTCGTCTCAGAACGTGTAAATTTATATCTAAAAATTCCATTGAATTATTTAGAGTTAAAAATTTTTCCTTATAAAAAATGCTGAACATACAAGATGTGATATAGTGTATGTTTTATTAATAAAATGTCTATTTCCAGAGCTCTTTGTTAAGCAATATTGTAATGGAAATACTAAAATGATCTGATTTGAGATCTAAAAAATTATTGCAATTTCACTAAGAGCTTAATAATTTACTGAAGAGAGGGGTTACTTTAAAACTAGGGTGGAATAAATTCTGTTGTAATATAAGTTGTTTATCATATTGCTATTACCAACACTTCACACAATCTTATTTTATTATAATAGATTAAAAAATGTATGAAGAAATATCTATTTATAGATTATTTAAGCAGGACCTAAGAAAAAAATGAATCAAAGTTCTTCTATCATAATGGTTTAATCAACGCTATAATAAAATGTGCACTTAAAATAAGCAATTTTGAAGCCTTGTCAAAGTTCATAGAGAATTACAAATAGTTCACACTGAAAAACAGTTTATTATTTGAAAAAATGAAAGCCTGTAAAATTAAGAGCAGCTGATTATTGATCATAATTAGTAAATTATAATAATAATTGTAAGTTTTCAATGTTAATTCTTTAAAATCTTTTGATGTATATGATTCAAATAAGAAGGTAGAACTTACAGAACAGACTTCATACAAATTATTATAATTAAAAATTATTTTATATTATTACCTGAATGCCTGCGTCGTTTAGGCCAACCTAATCAAGAAGAATGATTGGAATTGTAATTCTCAAGTATTGAGTTGAAAATTTAAATAGCAAAACTTGAAAATTGACCCCAACCAGGATTTATTGAGACTCTACGATTTAATTAAGAATTTGAAATTATAATTAAATAACAATATTTTAATTATTCTAATCAAAGCTCCGTCACTTCTATATCTATCTATAAGCTTTTTTTAAACCCTGAGTCCTATATTTAGTGGGTGATCATTTAGAATAAGTCCTATAAAAATAAGGAAATAGAATACTAGAATTTTTTTGATTATTTACCTTATAATGTCTTCATTGATCATAATTATAGATTTTATTCATATATCACCGAGTATAGAGAAATCCAATATTAAAGATATAATGTAGCTCATCACCAAAATCTAAATTCATAAATTGTATCAAAAGACTTTGATATGAACAATGGAATAATATGATCAAATCTGCAGGAAAATGATCAAACAGGTAAGCTAGTGAACTCTTATTTCAGAAAATGAGAAAAAAAAAATATCTAATATACTTAGATCTATAAATCGTCCAATTCTTTGTTGTTCAAACGCTGGCAATCTTTTTTTTGAGAAATCTCAACTCAAATTTAAGCCTATTATCCTTTTGAGTTCGATATTCATAATGATTCAAATTGTCAATTATTTTAATTATTTCAAGCAGACTGAGATCATCGCATCCCTTTTCATATTGCTCAAGAAGCAAGGATAATAGTAGAGATTATTACAAATAGATAAGATAAGATAGAGAAACTCAAACTTGGTAGAATGCTCGACTGTAATTTAATAAACTAGGATTAAAGATAAAGAACTATGAAAGAAAAGTAATAGGAGATATCTTATTTGATTGAAAAAATATATAAATCCTAAGATTTTAAGCATATGTAGGAAAAATAAATTATTGAGTTCCTAAAAAGATAAAAGTATAGAGGACTGTGTATAAAGAATAAATCTAATTTATTTTGAAATACTATCTTTCTTAATGAAAAGAGTGAGGAAGAAAGTTGAATATATAAATTTAATTTATTTAATGAAAATTTTTTAGAGATTATAATTCTAATCATATATTAATATATTTAATCCAAATATGATGGCAACGAATAGTTATTCCAAAAATAAATTAAGTATTGCAAAATTAAAAATGATATGATTAGCTAAAAATTTTATCAAATATATTAATATAAAATAATCATATCTTCTTTGGATAATGAAATTTTGCTAAAGATTTTTAAGCAAAATTGGATGAAGCATTAGTGTTTTTTGGTAATTATTTTAATTTTATATTAAATAGTAGCATGAGAGAAGAAAAAAGAAAAATGCTAAAAATCCTTGGCCTTTTGCTTGAATTTTAGGTAAATAAAATTTTTTCAATGAAGAAACTCAAAGTTTAACTGCTTTAAAAGGAACAGAAAAAATTTATAATTCAAAACTAACTTATGATTACATGTTTTTGTAGAAGTTTAAAGATGACTGGATAATAAATGATATTCTCAATTTAAAATATTATTAATTAATCAAAATCGATTGTAACAAGATAAATTTAGAAAAATAATAATACAATAAATAAGAAATGTTAATTATTTAAGTTTTTAATTAAGTTAAATAAGCTTCTAAAGGATACCTTACTTTTGGTTACAACTAATTGTGTTAATTTATTTTACAAATAGAAATAGCGAGTTACAAAAAGTAATTTAATGGAACTACGAGAAAATTTACACCTTTAATTCAAAAACCTTTATAAATATATATATAAGTATGGCATTACTAATTCAATTCTACAACATATAATAATATTTTAAACAAACTTGTTTTGGAATCTATAATTGTTGTAATTTTAACTCATGGACTTTTAATGGTGATTACATCATAATTCAGGTTTTGCACTAATTTTCTTTAATAATAATATGTTTTTACTCAAATTATAAAAATATGGATGCAATCACTTGAATCAATGTAGTTCTTTTTTTGAAAATTTTTCCTTTAAGATCAAAACTAAAAGGGAATTAAATCTATCTTTATATTTAGCTGACTCACTAAAGCCGAAGACAAAACCTAAAAATTATTTGAATAAGGGAAGAATTAAGAAGCCAAAAATTTTTCTTTTGCTGTATTGGAATAAGGATCAAACAACAAGGATTACAATCAGAAATACCAATTAAAGTAATGAACCTTATATTTTATATAATTTATTTGATTTTTTGGGTTATTAACAAAAAGGAGTTTTTGATAGTTTAAACTAATTGTTTCTATAAATATAAATCAAGTTAAATTTTTCTTCTAATGAACTGAGAAAAGCCAAATTTCAATTTACAACTATAAATGAAATTTTAGATTAAAGTTCCTCTTGGACTTGGGAGGTTTTGGAATAAACCTTGATTCAATATCTATTAAACACCAAAACTAAAACTAGTAGCCCAGCAGCCTAGAATTCTTGAAAAATTTTAAACTGGATGATTTAAAAGGATGTTTTTAATATCGAAAAATTCTATTTATTATGAACCAGAAATTCCTAATTAAATAAAGGGAATCTGAATTCGAGGCATAATATAATAAATTAAAATGTTAGGCTTTATTAATTGAGAACGATTATAAGTATGGATTCACAAGGAGGGCTAAAATTAAGTCCAAGTGAAATAAAAATAATCAATTAGATAAGGAGAATAATGAAATTAGTAATAATTGATGAAGTTAAAAATTTAATTGAACTTAAAAGATTAAAGTTAATAGGAAGTATATTAAATCTTAAGTAATTAATCGAATTTGATATTTTAATAATGCAATTCATTTTAATAAATTCTCTTTATAATAAGCTTCCATCTTTATGAGATGTAAATAAGAATTATATGTATTGCCTGCAACATTCAGTATCCTGAAACCTTTAACCATTTGATCAGGAAAATATATTGTAAATACACTTTATACAAAATTATCATAAATCTAAGTTTCTGAACTTTCTAAAATAATGTAGATTTGAATTTTGTAAAACCGATTATCTCCATCCCAAAACCAGATTTTCAAAGTATTTAATTCATACTTTTGTGTTAAATCAAATGTTATTGAATATCCTGTTGAACTCCATGTATATGTAAATAATGTATAGATAGTATCTCGAAGGCAACTTCCATTATTGCCTCCTAAGAAGCCATTTAATATTTTTGACGAGATCAGAGCACCATTGCATTAGTGAAGTACATTTTTTTTATAGCCTCTAATAATTGATTTGATTTTTGCTTATCTTGCCAAACAACATTAACTGCCAGATACATTAAATAAAAGAAGCAAAGTGAAAATTTCGAAGAGTTTTGATGACATATTCAAAAAATTAAATGGAATTATTAATTTATTAATTAATATGTGTTCCTTATTAAATATCTAATTTGTTGAGGCTTTACTTAAATTGTTATGCTATCTCATTAACTTCAAATTGGAATTTTGACAAATTCTAAATTTCATTCTTGATCTTTGTACAAATATTAATTCTACAAATCAAAATGAGATTTAGAATATTCCAATATTATTTATATATCGAATTTCAAAATCTTGCAATCCATTCTGCAAATAATCTATCCAAATTTTATATTATTTATTTTTTCTAGCAATCTGTTAAAAATCTTGAAAATGAAATTATATAATATTTCTAAATAATTTTAATGATAGAATTAATAGAAAATTCTATTTTAGACTGATTCCAGATTATACTTAAAATGTTGATAAGGAAATTTAAATTCAATCTTTTCATTTTAAGTTATTTAGAATTTACTAAATATAGTAGGTATATTTTAAACCAGAGTTTCGACCATTTTAAGTCTTTGGAATTCTAAAGGATTTTAATCATTATTATTAAGGACATTTTCTAAAGGTCTAACTATTTGGTTTTATAATGATCATTTTTACTCTTAACTACTTTTGTAAACCATCATTTATTTTTACAAATATTCTTATTATCTACAAAGTTTCATTGATCAAAATAAATTTTTTAAGTAAGATCTTTAAGGGGCCATGGCTAATTATTTTAAAAATAAAAAATTTCAACAAAATTTAAATAAACTAGAATGAAAATTCTATAACGATTAACTACATATATATAGTAAATATTTACTGCTGCCCCCAATTAT